TTTTTTTGAAAGCGCATCAAATGCCTTCTTTTTTACATCGTTTATAAGTTAACTTACATTAACAACATTTCCAAGTTGACTTCCTAAAATCAAATAGTACTTAAATCTCACTTGGTGCAGTAAGGACAGGGAAAACAGCGTGCTACAGCATATAAGCACAAACCTAGGTTTTAAAAAGGATTTTCAATTTCTTCAGTTTTACGTTTGTGTAAGCATGAGGGTTTTTTCCATTCGGACGAAAGTTTCTCTTCTACAGTCTGCGACGTGTTCTTCCACAAGGGCTTTCAGACGTATTTTTGATATTCTGTGTATTCTGATGGTCTTAAGCTTTTACTGAAATTCAAGCAGTTTTCTGCCAAATGTAGATGTTGGTTTAGCCTTGAGATAAGAGCGCAAATTAGATATTTGTTACTGGCCGTGTCTTGAGTTTTATCAGCAAGTTCCTTATTTATAAACAATTTACGTAGGTACAGTAGATGAACTTGTGCCAAGCAGTTAGGAGGATCGACTGGTCTCGGCACCGTTTCCACCTTTTCACGCAGGGTATAAGTGTTACATTTCCTCGCTGTAATGTGGACGGAATCCTCTTGTCAACAAGTCCATTTTCGTCATCCCACGGATCTCTGTGGTAGCCGAAGCACACGAGGTCTTGCCCTCTACCCTTCCCAGAGGTTTTCGTTCCTCCACCCCCGCCTCACAAACCCGTAGCGATTTTTGAATTGACTTATAAGGGCATGGTCTTCCAGAAACTCTTCCGTCCCTGAAACTATTCTATTATAATCCATGTACTGCACTCGGCAGCTACTACAAAATTATTGAGTTCTTCTTAATTGCAGCATCTTTTCAGGCTACGAAACCCGTATTCACTTTCTCTTTCTTTACACCAAAGCACGAGGACCCCAATTCAGTGGAACATCTAATGAGATAAAACGCCGAGACAACTTTCACCATTTGTGTTGTCTTTGGCCTGGACTGACGGATTGGCGATCTGTTGAACATGGAGTCAGTGGATCTGAGAGTTTTCAGTCGACGAGGTTGCTGAAGGCGGCACATGACAGACCATAGTAACCAGAAGTCCCACAAAGCTTAAACCGAATGTTTACAATGTTACTTTGCGCTGATGAGAAATCTGCCAATGGGAGCAAGGTTGGAATTTTTTCACCCAATATGTGGAAACACCCAGTTAAACTACACAAAAGTGTTTGTATTCTAACGAAATATCCTCAAAAGATCGTGTTGATAGGCGTGTGTTGAGGGGATATTTTGTCTTGCATAAACTCATCAGCTTTGCTTTGGCCGTGTTACGGTTTGAAAAGGAACTCGATTACAGCAAGAGCGTTTACACTCGTATTCAGTGTACAAAATCATTTTGGCCAGTCTGTGGAGTCGTATCACACTGTGTAACATTTCAAATTGACTTTTGTAAAGTTTATTTAGAGAAGTCGCAGGTTTGTTTTTAAGCCCAAATAGTCATGGTGTAATAATATTTGTTGCTAGTTTATTCAACCTAAATAACTTCTGCATATGTTTTTGTTTCAATTTGTTAATTAAAAATTTGTTGCAAATTGTCAAAGGTGAGCAATACGGAATAAATTTTAGAATCAGAGATCCTTCCCATACTGTTGAGAATTTTTGGGAGATTCATGCTGATGGCATTGGCATTATATAATTGGCCTGGCCAGAGGGG